CTCCTTGAAACATGGCAGGCTTTGTATCCTTAACAGGGGCTACCATGCCTGCAGTTTTCACCCTGCTGTGCTTTAACACACACACGACATGAGTTTTGTGTGTCAGCAGCTTGAAGTGCAGTTTCCCAGAAACACCTGCATCGATCTCTTTGAAACTTGGCAGACTTTGTGGCCTCAGCAGGGGCTACCATCTCTGCTGTTTTCATCCAAATATGCCAAAAAATGACAGAGTTGTAGGCAGTATTGTGGTTCCCCATTACAGCCTATGGGTGAAATGTCAAAACAGAGAAACAGTTTTGAGAAAACAAAACAGAACAGTGCTTTGGAAATTAAACAAAACTCAGAACGAAACACTGTCCCATCAAAACAGTGAAACGGAAGTTGAAATGAAATTGTGCTGTTTTGCATAGCCCTAATCCACAGCAACCCTACCTTAGTTCTTTCTTTGGTCAGGTCCTAGGAAGGAGAGGCATTTTCCATTTCAAAGGACTCCTCCTTTGAAAGAGTATCAAATAGCACAGCAGACACCTCTGTTTCAAAAAAGTCTCTATTATGCATCTCCTTTCCTCACTTGGACTCCTGCTTACTTTTCACTCTGTCTTCACTTAGACTTTTTCTCTGTCCTCCCTAAGACTATTCTTTCCTCCTCCTCCGTGCTCTCTTTGCCCCCACCTCCCCCCCCACCCCGTGTCTTTCAGAGCTTCCTCCATTCTCCTCAGGTACAAAACTGTTGTGTTAATCCAGGCACTAACACTTACCCAAGCAAATAAAACACTGTCAGGGGAAACAATCAGAGAGCAGTCTCTTTGGCCTGTTGCCAGGCCCATGCTGCCATCTCTAGGGTGAAAAGGACATTGAGATGTCCTACTCATATAACTATTACATCAACACCATGCTCACACTAAGACCCCCAAAATGTTCCATACCAGAGCTATAGGCTATAACTCAGCTCACTTAATACATCTCGTACCTCCTCTACACTGTACACTTATATAAGGACCGGGTGCAACCTAGCCTTAAATCACATACTTATATAGTCATACCCCAGACTGTCAAATAATCCTCTGTCCTCTATTATACTCCAGGGTCTTAAAGATGTACCTTACACCCTGAAAATGCGGTATAAGTAGGTAGTGCTGGAGAGTTTAGAAATTCAGCAGTGCAGCTTAGCATACTGACTTTCATCATGAAAGACCCCCAGGACACTTTATATTCTGCTCGACAGTAAAGAACTCATCACCCATCACTAAAATACAGTCACTTCCAGAATAAAAGTTGGCAGTCATTCTGTTTCGGCACTGTTAAGTATTTTCTTGTAAGAGAAAGTGAAAAAAAAAACAGGTGAACAGAGTATAAAAAGGGAATATACAAGATTAAACACTGCACACCTTATGAAAAATGTCACTTGAGTCTTCTATTGATATTAAGTGGTCAGGGACCTAGTTTTACACCTCATTCAAAAACCTTTATTCCCTGACAAAATAAAATTATTTTTCCTAGAATACTTTTTACTCCAAAAATCTTACCAATAATTGTGAAAAACTCATGCTTTACAGCTGAACAATTGAGTGATAATGTATTACTTCCTACAACTCAAGAATAAGTCTTTAAGAAATATTAGTAAAACTATATAAAATAATGAAAAATAGCATTTATATCACCATTTATATGGTATTTTCTCTTTCACTTTGCAGGAAAGGGAGATAAAAGTTATGTCTTTCATAATTTTAGATTCCTCCATACAAGAAGGATGAGAGTTTGGGGTTGATTAAAGAACAGACAAAGGCAAAAGCAAAACTGACAAAACAGGCATTGCATTTTCTCTATATATAGTGTCATGTCTGAATTTTGAGTGCCGATGCCAGCAAAGCAAAGCAAAAGATTATAATAACTAAGTAAGGACAGTGGCCCTACAAACCCCTCAGCACTGATGGCCTTTATGTATTGCAGTTGGAGTTTGTTAAAAGTTTGTTCTCCATAGTTAAGAGGCTTGGTGATGGAAAATTACAGGGGCCCATCACATGCTTAACCTTTTGAACCCACTGAGGGCAGTAAAGTAGGTCAGATGAATAATGTATTTAGGTCAGATGAATATGCATCTAGGTCAGATGAATATGTATCTAGGTCACTAGTGTATGAATAATGTATCTAGGTCACTAGTGTAAGAACGTAGTTGGTGGTCAGTAAATATTCACAACTGGCATGTTGCGATTGGTCACTGCTAACTATAACTAGGAGCAGACTCCTGCTTAAAGCGGAGAACTCCGTGCACACCAAGGAGACATAGTCAGCAGATTGGCCACTCGCAGACATCTCCCCACCATTCGACTTTCATTTTGGCGTATTCGTACTGGTTTGTTCATCCGTTCATTCTTCTCGTTAAAGAGCTCTCAGAAGTTTATTGATCGAAGGTGCATTATAGATTTTTCCTGTGCATGAGCTGTTGACCAGTTCTGGGACTATTAAGTCGGGCAGCCGCACCTAGCCTCCAGGTTAGAAAGCAAGGGCTCGGCTCAGGAACCCCATGAACCAACAGACCCCTTTAGATTGTTCTGTTTTATGCACTGTAACTGAACAAGTCAGCTCTCCTGACTACGCTGCAACCATCTGTAGCGTGAGTACAATAAACTTTTCATATAACCACTACGCTCCAAGGCGCCTGACTCCTACTCGCCGCTAATCCCCACCTGTCCGGTCATTGATCCTTTCTGCGCCAAGCTGGTTGTGCCGACTCAGGCTTGCAGGTCAAGGGTACACCAGGTTCGAGGCGCAACATATAGAATTAAAAGAACACGTACTACCTTTTATAGTCAAGACATACGTGAAGTAAAACTTCATTAGAGACAAGGAAAAAGGTAGCTGAAGAAAATGGGGGAAATTTTTGAAAATATCATTCTGTCTTGACATTTTGAGAATGAAATATTTAATTTTATAAATGCCAGGATATTTCATGTAGACATTTTTTTAAAGAAAAAAAAATTAAAAGTGGCCCTTCTATTTTAAACATTGACCTATGTTAAACCAGAATAGTTAAACCAAAGGTTAACTAACTCAAAACAAAATGTTTTGTTTAAGTAAAATATTTCTGGTGGACCCGAAATGAAGCTTTTATTATTTTCTCCTTTTGGGGAAGAAGGGTGTTGTATGTTTATGGCGGGCAGTGGGGGGGAGGGGAGGTGGGAAGCAGAGGAAGAGGAGGGGCAGAGGGGAGGCCAGCACAAACCCTAATCAATTTTTTGGCTCAGTCAAACAGAAAAATAAATCCTTATCCATGCAGTTCTAATCCTCAAAGGAAATGTACAAAACACCTTTCATAAACAGGCCCAGTAACTTCACTTCATAAATCTACTGGATACAAATAATCATGGACTCAGTATAGACATTGGATTTATGACAATACAAATGGTCTGACGTCTGATTCATCAGGTACCTATACACTTTTCTTCCCTCCCCCGTTCTGCTTTCCTCTCCCCTATTTTTCTGCCTTTTGTCTTCCTAATTTCCAGGTTTTTTTTTTTTTTTTTTTTTTTTTTTTTTTTATTTTTTTTTTTTTTTACAGACAACCCATTTACTGTAGTCTCCTTTACTCTCTTTTGGTTCCAGCGCCCTCCCCCCACCACTTTCTATCCCCGTCCCTTCCCTGCTTTACCTTTTGTTTTCCTAATTTCTACCTGTCTACATTCTCACTGACATCCTGTCACACCTTTAGCTTGGAGTCTCAGAACAGCAGAGACTTCCTATGCCTGAAGAAAAGTGATTGCACCCAAAATCTTGCTATGAAATTTTCCCCCAACTACTCAGTTGGTCAGATAAAACATAATCATATTTACTCAAAGAATCTTTCCTGTCTATATCCTTAGCCCAACGTGGCTACAAACAAAATCCAGTTAAAGCATTATATATTTTGGTAGGGTCTTTGATCAAAATATTTCAAAGAATTATTATGGTAGATAGTTGTTTTGCAAGTTGTACTCACTCATTGGCTTAGGCTCCTGGCAGATGTTCTATTAAAGATGCAATGGGATCTGATCTGTGATCCCAACAATCACATCTTCTGCCATGTTTAACATGCTGTGAAGAAGAAGAAAGAAGGATGATCCTGTTGATGCCCTGGAGCTGACAGGAGGCAGTGGGAGAAAGGAGATATCACTGAGAACGGCACTTCTGGAGTCACTGCTCTATGAAGCTAGAGTGGCCACAGGGAGGCCCAGATGGAAAAAAAGACGACTGACATGGCACGGAGCGGGGAGGAGGGGGAGCAGGTCCAGGGAGGTGATCCTTCCCCTCTATGCAGCATTGGTCAGGGCACAGTTGGAGTACTGCATCCAGTTCTGGGCACTGCACTTCAGGAGGGCATTGAGAGGTTCCAGAGGAGGGCCACTTGCATGGTCAAGGGGCAGCAGGGCAGGCCCTATGAAGAGAGGCTAAAGGGCCTGAACCTATTCAGTCTTTACAAGAGAAGGCCAAGAGGAGACCTGGTGGCTGTTTACAAACTCACCGGGGGGACCAGTGGGAATTGGAGGAGGCTCTGTTCCCTCGAGCACCACCCAGTGTTACTAGGACTAACAGCCACAAATTGTTAGAGAGAAGGTTCAGGCTGGACATCAAGAGACATTACTTTACAGTTAGGGCTGCCAGACTCTGGAATGCACTCCTAAGTGAAGTGGTGCTCTCTGCTACTTTGGGGGTCTTCAAGAGGAGGCTGGACAGATATTTGGCTGGGGTGATATGATCCCGGCACTTGTTCCTGCCCAGGGCAGGGGACCGGACCTGATGATCTATTTAGGTCCCTTCTGATCCTAAGGACTATGACTATGAGAGAGAGCTGGCAAGTGGCACAGTGAGCAATTAAGAAGAATTACAAGGTTTAGAGATTGAATCTGGTTGAGGAGGACCTGTTAAGGGAAGAGAGTGGAAAAGTTCAGGAAGAAAGCAAGAACCCCAGGGAAGCAAGTAAATCTTTTCTTTGAATTTGTTTTTATTAAGAAAACAACAGGAACGAAAGTAAAGTAAAATTTATTAAACTTTACAGAAAAAATTAACAAAGATTTGAGTTCCAGAGGCAGATAGTTGAAAACTAGTCCTGTTATGTTGCTGATCTTAATCTTGATAGAGACGGGACTTTGTCCAAGTTGTGAGATTGTCTAAAAGAAACAAGAAGAGAAGAATTCAAAACTACAAAAAAAGAAAAAAGAAAAACATAATAAGTTGTGTTTGTAATAAAAATAATAAAGGACACTTAACAGAAAATACTGTATCACTATGAGTTTTTAAAAATGAAAATGGTGAAATTTACCTAAATTTAGAAGAGGATTTCCAGAGTTCATTGCGGAAAGTTAAGTCAACATTATCAGGTGATATATATAGTGGTGTTAAAATTACATCCCTCCTGAAATATAATTTTTCATTAAGATGTGGCAGATGAGCATCGGGTTCACTACAAAAATCAACTGGTAATAAGAATCTTATTATTCATTGGAAATTAATTTAGAAATTGACTGGAGAGCTATATCTTTATAAAAATATGATTAGACTTACAACTTCACACATGTCTATTTCCAATATGTTTGGGCTTGGGGATCAGACCCTAGTCATGCCTGATTGCCAGTACAGGGAGACTCTAAACTGGCAAGTATCAAGCCAGGTGCCTGGTGTGCCCAGCTGGGAGTGCCAGTCAGCTGGCTCCCAGCCTCAGGAGCACATTGTAACTCTTACCTCTGGTGTACTTTCAAGGCTCTGTGCACCAATCAGTTAATTGGCAGTCCCTGCCTTAGGGGTGCACCAGAGCCAAGGGCTTCATGCACTCCTATGGGTAAGAGCACTAATTAGGGGATTGGCCTGGCCGCACATTGAATTTAATAACTTTGTGACTTCTTCCCTGTTTTGCCACACCATAGCAATTGTTGGTTAGTTTGTAACAGCAATCAATTTTTGTGTGAACTCTTAGATTCAGTCTCTGCCAGTCTCAACCTTAGTGATTTTTCTAGCTTCTAAAGACTAGACAAAGTACTTATGCCACTGGCAAAGACTAGTAAAATCTATTCTTTGCTGCAACCAATGCTAACTTTCTATCATATTATTAATGTGAGTAATTTCACATCAGGAATGACTTACGACCAGATCCTATTTCAACTTCATGCACTTAAGGGGTACTTATGTAAATGCAGTGTTTGGACACACACACCATTTTTAGAGTTCAGAATAGCAATGCTTGCCCATTGGTTAACTACTGCATATGTTCAGTAAGCCATACTTTGGCTATGTAGGGGCTCATGCAAAATAGAATAATTGAGTAATGTATATAATACTGGGTAAGTCCTGTAACTGTAACTGCATGAAAAGCAGTTTGCCAGTAGGAGAATGAAGAGGACTTTCCCTCCTTTTAGCCCAGTATAGGCTAAGGAGCAGGTCAGCACTGTATGGCTAAGGTTGCCAACCCAAGGAAGATCTTTACTGACAATTGGCAAACTTCTTACTGGGTGCATCTACACGTGCATTAATGTTCCATTAAATTTACTGCACAGTCATTTACTGCATGGTAAGCAGGAGTAGACCTGCGGTCAACCTGGGACTAGATTTAGTCCCAAGTCTGAGCAGCCTGCTGTGCCTTTGTGGCCACCAGGGGGAGCTCCAGCCTCTGGTAACATGGCTTCCAGCACTTGGCAGCCATGCTGAGGCCAGAGGCAGCTGCCAGCACTTGATGGCCATCTTAAAAATACACCCTCACCCTCTGATCCCTGCTCAGCCCCTCAACTGCCTGGGAGCTGTGTGCCCAGTGCAGGAGCAGCATGTGGCAGCTCCATTGCTGCCCACCCTGCCTCCCTGTGCCCTGGCTGCTCCAGCCCCTGCACCTGCCCCTGCCAGCATCGCCCAACACCCCGTGCTCCAGCCCAATCCCTGCCAGCAATGGCCAGCACCCTGTGCTGCTGCTGGCTATGGTGCTGGCCCTGCTGGCCCCACCTGCCCAGGCTCTGGGACAACCATACACCTGCCACCCAGGTGTATGGCTGACCCTTTCCTCCTGAACTCCCCACACCAGTCCACCTGCTCTGCTTTCCACACTGGCCTGAACCCCTGCCTACCCCCAGCACAACTCCAGGGCACACATGTAGAATAAAACATACAAACTTTATTAATAGAACAAAAGCCCCCATCTCTCCTCCCTCCACCCTCAACAAGCACAGCCCTTGGAGCCCACATCCCCACACACAGTGCCCCTCCACCTCCCTCCCCACCCACCAACAATAGAAACCCTATTCCCCAAACTTCACAGACACTTCACGTATCTGAACCCATCCCCAAGTACATGTGTGAGGGACTGAGTGGGGGAGCTGCCTAGGGTGGAGAACCCTTGTGGATCTGGGGACCACAGCAAAGGCAGCACCTGTTCCAGAGGGCTGCCAGGGGCCCACTGTGGGATAGTGGGTGGGACCCAGGGGCCCTGCAGTGCCAGAGTGGAGGCCAGGCATAGGCACAGCTTCCTCTGGCTGGCCCTGGATAGCCAGTTGCTGCTCCAGCAGCCCCATACACCACCGTTCCAGGACCACCAGCTCAGCTCAGTGAGCATGGCATACCCACAACTGCACCTCCTCCTGGGCAGTCTCATGGGCAAGGTCCTCTGCCCACCCCACCTGCTGGTCTGCCACCTAGCCCTCCACTGCAACAACCAACCAACCACAGAAGCAGGCAGGTCCCATCTTGGCTGTGGTGCTGGTACATCTGGCACCTGCAGGCAGCTCCAGTGAGTGGCAGTAATCCTGCGGCATGGTGCCTTTAGTCCCCTGCGGCCTCTCCTCCTCATCCAGATGTTGGCCCTGCACAGGAAAGAGACAGAAGGCTTTTGTAAGAGTTTGCAACATTTGAGAGATAAGATGCTCTGTTCCAGGGGCCCTCTGCTACCTGGCCTCAGATTGGAGGTCAGCTGCTTGCAGATGCCAAGGGACCATGGTAAGTTGGCCAGGAAGGCCTAGGTCCAGGTGGGTGCTGTCCAAGCCCCCCATGCTTGCCTGCTCCCTGGGAGCTGGCCGCAAGCCATCTACCTCTTTTTCTCCCTTCCCAGGATGAGCCAGGTCAGACTTTTGGTAGCACCTACTGCCATAGCTCTAGCCCCCACTGACCCCCTCCCCCATCTCTGCAAAACCACTGCTCTGCTGCGCTGCTTCCCAGCCCCCAGCACCTGAGCTTGGGGCATGCAGGGCTCCTGGACAACTGGGGTGAGGAGCTGGCTGTGCCCCTGCCCTCCCCACTGGGGGCCTCTGTGGAGAAGGGCCCTGGGGCTGGCCCCTCATCATGTCACCAATGCACTCCAAGCATGCCCCTGCTGTATATGCCATGGGTAGTGCATGATGAACTGTTTGTGCAGGTAGAGAGCTGCCTGGACCACTATACCCTGATGATAATGATGATCCTGCTGGTGTCCTGGGCACACCTGCACTCCTAGATTGAGACCCTGAGCTACCACCCTGAGCATGGGGTCAAGCCTGGCCTTCCCCACATCCTCCACCACAATCTGGAGGGCTATCCAGTGCTCAATGTTCCTGCCCCCAGATGCTGAGGAGGAGATTGCTGCCAGGATTGACACCTTCTCAGCACATGTGAGGCTTATGCCCACCCAGCCACAGGGACACAGGCTGCTCAATAAAGGTCTGACCTGTGTCCCACCTTTCTGTGGGCTGTGAGGAGGAACTTGGGACCAGGGAAGTGTGGGCAAGCCAGGCAAGGATGGGGGGCCAGGGCTGGGGCCGGGGCCAAGGGCAGGGGTGGGGGTAGGGACTGGACCTGGGAAGACATGCTTCCCAATGTGGGACTTACCATGGTTCCAGGGCTGGAGAGGGTGGTAGCTCAGTGTGGGGCTCCCCATGCCAGGTTGTGTCTATCTTCTACCTGTGTACATGGCCTCTGGTGGTCTAGAGGCTTGTGTCTGGCCAAGGCCTGCCCCCCTAGGAAGGAGCTGATGCTATTGACGGCAAGTGGTGATGTGGCCAGCTGCTCCTTGTGGGTGGCTGTGGGGTGGGGCTGAGGCCAAGACAGCCACTGGTCAGGGCTCCCTGGGCTGCTAGTGGGTGCAGCAACTAGGAAGGAGTGCAGGGTGGGATGCTGAAGGCCCGAGGTCCTCTCCTCCGGTGATGTGTCACCAGAGGTGTCAGGAGAACAGACATGGGCTGTCAGGGTACCCATGAAGGGCATGGTCCTGGAGGCCCCACCAGACTGATGATTCCAACCAGTCACAGCCACCCACTCAGCCTACAGGTCCTTGACCTTCATGTGGCACTACCACACTGACTAAGAGCGGCTCTGAGCATGAATCCCAGCCGCCAATGTCTTATAAATGTGGGTGTTTGAACACCCACCCTGGGTGAGATTCCTCAGGACCATCCTTCTTGCCCCACAGTGCCCCAAGGGTGTGCACCTCCTCCCAGGTCCAGTTGGCACCCCTGGGGCTCCAGACAGGTGGGCACGCACAGATGGGGCTAGGGCTCGACATGAGGAAGGAAGAGGATGTCAAGCCCCATGCCAGCTGGCAGGTCCCCCACGTGACAGGGCCAGCAGCCCTGGTGGGATCCCAGGGCTGGGTTAGGGGTGCAATAAACTGCACCCCATGGCAGCACTCAGCTGTGGCTAGGCAGCAGCTCTGGAATGGGACAGACCTGGCAAACACAGCCTGCAGGCTGAAACTCCAAGCTCCCTGGAATGTGTGTCCCCCAAGGAACAAAATGGTTGCAGGTTTTAATACCCTGCAGTTAGGGGCTGCCAGAGAATAGCCCAGCATTACAGCTGGAGAGGGGGTGAGGCAGGAGCCCTGGGGCTGGGCTCCACCTGCCCCTGTAGTGGCTGGACAGACTCAGCCAAGAAGCTCCCACATTTTTTCTTAGTAAGGCATCTACATGTGCATTACTGTGCAGTAACTGATTGGGCATAAATTTGATACCTGCACTATGCAGGTATCAAGTTTACACCCGTCAACATAAGTCACCACAGTTAGTGCACAGTACAGGCATGCACATGTAGATGTGCACCCATAATGTGCAGTAATTTAGGTTACTAGGCAATAAAAGTGTACATGCAGACAAGCCCACTGACAACCAAACTTTTTTACTGACACATATTTGTACTGATATATGTTTGCATAATGTAAATGGAACTCTTCTGCAAGGTTCTGTCCTGCTGCCAGGCCCGAATTAGAAGGGATGGCTTCAAATTTAAGGGTTTAACACCAACCATAGTACAAAAGTTTGGTTGTCAATACAAACAATGAGGAAAAATAAGATCTTGGATTGGCAACCAGGTTTGACTGCCATAGTAGTTTTAATTTTGCTGCTTACCAGGGATCCCCTGCTCATCCCCATACACTGATGCTCCTAACTACACTTCATTGGCACCCCTTTGAGATTGGCCATGCACCCCCTTGAAATGCCAGCTGCGAAACTGGAAGTGCTGATGGAAGCACACTTCTGGTTTCGCTGCTGGTGATTTCCGCTGGGGGACCCCACCCCAGTTGGTGATCTGGTGTCCCCCCAGACTCAGAAGGCACCAGTTGCCTGTGCTAAACTTTGCACCATGCTTCCTACCAGCCCTCTCCTCTGTCTTAGCCCACTGGTCCCAGTCCCCCTCATTCTGACATGGACCCCCAAAGAAGCCTACCTGCAACTCAGCGGTATTAGAGGCAGTCAACAGGAGTCAGGAGCAACAGCAGTAAACCTGCATATAATCCAGAAGCAAATCTAGTCCATGGAACCACTAGATCCTGTCCTTAAAGCTTCAGGGCTTTACCTCTACCCATGCCCATGCTGAGGCTGAGAAGTGAAGAGCTGCACCAGGGCTGGGAACATAAGTGGCACCCCACTTCCTCAGGTTGTGACATGAGTCAGCTTCCAGGTGCCTTGCACTGGTGCAGCTCCCCTCCAGGTATAAACTGCACCCACACCACCGCTGGGAGCAGGGGAATGGGAGAAGAAGTAGTGATGCTGCTGTGTGGGTCTGGCAGGTATGCAGGGAAAGTCCCCCACCTCACCATGCACTATCCCCGCCCAATTCATGCACTGCCAAAGTCACACAGCCTCTGCCAGACTACCGCCAGCTTGTTCTGGTTCAGGGTTTGAAAAAGTTAGCATTCCCTGACCTAAAGAGTAGAGCACTTGGTTAGCGGGTAGGAAACCTGGGTTCTAACCCTTTCTTCCACCCCTAGACATGGGACACCACACAGGAGAGGTTTGAGTCTGGATTTCCTACTTTGTACCAAAGCAATCTATCTTCAAGGCAAAAGATGAGGCATGGTCCAGAATGATATTCAGGTCTACTAGTCATCCAGGAGGAAAAAATACAAACAGAAAAGGAAGGATGGATCAGTTAGATACTACACTCAGAATGGAGGAGCTGAAATTGCCCTTGTCTATTGTTGTTTATCTAGACTACTCTCTAGGTCTCCTTTTGAAACTGGCCCACTAGGCACCTAGGCACCTAGGGTAGGAAGATACATTTCTTTGAACAAAACTCTCTCAGTGGTGTTTATCTGTTTTACCAAATGAATGTTAAAAGCAAGGTGCAGTAGGGCAGGTTCAAAAGAAAGCTAGAGAGTGCTCTTGGCAATGCTTAACTTGTGGTCTAGTGGTAGGAACAGTTTGGAAGGCAGGAGATGTAGATTCATATGTCCTTGAGGGGATAGTTGTTAGACCCTAGATCTCCAATTCCTCGCCCTAAATCCTAATCTAATGAACAAAAAGGTTGGAGGGACCTCTTTCATTTAATTCCAGGCTTATCACAGAAAGAGTCAGTTAAGCTCAACTGATGCCAGCTCTGCCAATAGGATGGCTACTCTTATTATTATTACTAACCTATATTGTAATTCATACTTGGGGCAAATCAGAGCGATTTCAAGGACAATTTTACTGTTGTAAGTTCCTGACTTTTATGTACTAAACTATGCAAACTTATTTTCTATTAATGTTCATCTATATAACTGCATGTTTGTGTATATAATATCTAATTTTCATAGAGTGTTTTTTTAGAGATCAAATTGTCCCAGCAGAATTTGCACTTGCATTTTTGCACCTGCAGTTTTACACTGGATGCAAATCTGATTACTTATGACTTTGATTAGCTTATTATTTGAGAGTTAGACTTCAAAGTGTCTGTGTATTCCATTCCTCGTAAACTTGAGTTTACGTGACTCAATAAATCTCACATAGTTGTATAATTCCACAGTTTATGCACAAAAATGGAAAGCATTAATTAGCAATTTTCTTTTTGTTTGTTTGGAGGGAAGTGGGGAAACATTGTAGACTAAATCTGCTCACAAGTTTTTCTGTATTTATCTTAATCTACTGAGAAAACTGGCTGGTAGCATCTGAATAATCCACAAATAAAATATAAATATCAGGCTTCTGGGAGTAGAAATGAATGTTTTAGTTTAATAAAATATTAGGGAAAATGGTGCTCAGAAACAAAAATAACTTCAGAATAACACTTACAATCATGTGCTGATTTTATAGTCTGCAATTAATTTAAATAGATTTCAAAGACAACATAGGACTTTTTCTAATGAATTTAAGGGCTAACTTGCCTGGTATTTATTCATACTCACTGTAAAATGGCCCTAATTCAGTGGACTTTTGATATGAAACTCTGAGGTCCAAATTTTAATGTCAAGTTACACTTAATGTTTAAGTTACACTGGTGTGGAGAAAGTAATTCCTTGGAAGATAATGAAGTTACCCCTAATATACATCAGTGTAATTGAGATAAGAATCTAGCATAC